AGGAAGTGGACAAGTTTTTCTATCTTGGCAACTATATCTCACCTGGCGGACGCATCACAGATGAAGTGTCGGCGAGCATACAAAAGGCTCGATTGGCATTTGCCAAGTTGATACATCTGTGGTACCGTCGCGACATCCGGCTGTCTGTTAAGAGTTGAGTGTATGCTGCAGCAGTTCGGCCAGTGCTATTCTACAGTGCAGATACTTGGTCATTACGGGAACGGGATAAACGTAGATTGTCGGTGTTCGAACACCGCTATCTACGTAGCATTGCACGTGTCTGATGGGGTAACCGGATGGGCACTGCTGAGGTTAGGCGTAGAGTTTTAGGCACTCGCGGTCGTCCACTGGAACAGGTAGTCTACCTCCATAGATTACGCTGGTTAGGGCATGCGTCGCGCATGTCACTGGATAGGTTACCACGGCGAACGATGTTTGCCGAGGCAGGTAGTGGGTGAAATAAATCCAAGGGAGGTCAAGCTGAGACCTAGTATGAGGGTATGAAATCCTAACCAGGAGATCCGACCGCATAGGTCCTGTTAGGCTCCTTGGCTGGGGACCTCGGGATGGTCGTAACCGATGGTTAGACACATTGAGTGATATGACTGGGTGTCGCAAATAGTGGCGCTCGTGCATCTACTCATTATTCGCTTAACACCACTCTGTATGAATTCTCCATGTCCTGCTTGGATTTGTTCCTAACATTCTAATCTTCATCCTAGTTTTTTATCCAGATGAGGCACTCAAACCGGTGCCCGAAGGTGGTTAGTTAATGATTATATAAACTAAACTGAGTGTTCGCAGTGGGACAACTTAGTCAGTTGTTAATCAATGGCTTCAGTCGGAATTCCAGTCTTGCTCGCATTATTTATCCTATTGTTCCATAAAACAGAGATTATGCGAACACAATTGACGAGGACAATTTACAAACTGTTTTAAATGTGGTTCAGCGCAAAGTCTGTCAAAAAAAAGGGATGCTTATTTTCCGCACTGGAGAACAAAGAATGCGTTTGTGCCGTGTGTTTTACGGGACTGCTATGTTTGACCAAGTTTTTTCTCAATTATTCCGATTGGTTGATTTCGTGAAATTTAGTCCCCAGTGATCGGTTGTGTATATCAACGTTTTTTCATTTTTTCCCACAAGATAAGGACGAGGAAGATGTGGAGGTGGATGTTGAAACTTTGGAACCAGTTGCTGCGTTGATGAGCAGGTAAGCCGTTTTCTCCTGTCCGAAGTATTTTCTCTCGATCTGTTAAACTGATTTCTTTGTTGTTGAGCCTATTCACTTGAAATTGATCAGTAGTCATGATTGAAGGCTGATAGCTTCGTGTTCCTGGTCGGAATCCGAAAGACTCCTCAACTGGTTAGTTAAAGACATTGAAGGATGTGATAGTAAACCGACTCAACGGATCTCTTGACATTTCGTGGAAAGGTGTGTATACACCGTCGGATTGTACTGACCATAGGAGGTTCATTTCCCTCTCCCTCAAAACAGATTCAATCCCTGTTCACCTTACCTATTACCAATTTGTGTGAGTTCGTCATCGATCAGTGAAGTTTCCTTCAGTGTATTTTGTCCCATGATGATGATTATGATGATAATGTGAGTTAGATCACTATGTGAATCTGCTATCCTCTTCCTTGTATATTACGTGACAGCAACCAAAACTGACGCACAAAAGTGCACGTTAAACGTTATTCAAACTGAAACTGAATATGACACGTGTTATTTGAAACGCCTCGCCAAATGTTGACACCGTTGTCGAATGAACACCGGTGTGTGGAGTGCAGTTATTTCAACACCGCATCATTATGTGCATGTTTCAAGTTGGTGTTTTTTTTTTAATTTTTGTTTCCAGCCGTAACCACTAGTTGCATTGTCCGTTTGATGCACGTATTGGCCTAGTTGTCATGATCTCAAATTTGACCGAGTTCTATCCGCACAGTGAGATGATACTTCATGGAATCAGTCGCACTCCAGAACTGGCTGATTCCTACCTGTAGCGTGTATGTTGCGACCGGACTTGCCTAGGATGGTTTTGTGTTCAAAGAATAACAAATGAACAACACGCTTCCCGTGAGCGACTTCAACCAGTTGCTTTGACACGACTGAGGTCCTGTTTCAGTTCAGTTTCGGGGTGATGATGTATATTTCATAGTTCATACCTGTCTGAGACCAAACTGTGTGCCAAGCAAATCATGGTACAATAATCTTTGTAAAAGACAAAAAACATTACGTGATTTGCATGTGAACCGAATAATGCCAACTTTGCCCAGGTTAAGGTATGTGAATGTTCTTGGGGAATACACAACCGGAGCCTTCGGCTAACCGAAGACTGATCCGCAAGGCTATGGGGCGGTGCGTGAAAACTGCAATCCGTTGGGGACCGGTGTCAACTTTTTCATCACATCATACGCCCTTTGGACGGGGTCAAAAGTCCAAGGTGCCCAATACACCTTGATTCCCAAATCGAGTTGGTGACCACTGTCACGACCAGCAAGATGTGGGTGTGTGGTTCGTACGCCTTTAGTTGGATGTTTTGGAATCAGGGGTTTTGGCCAATTTCCCTAGGTGAACTACTAGGGGGGAGGAAGAACTTGACAGATGAAAAAGGGGAGTTTCGAAATAGTTGCCTGTGACTTTAGGGCACGACGAACTTCACGGTAACTCATACTGAAGCCTGGATATCCTCGGGTTAGGCAGAGCTGAATGCTACCAGGCGCGTCTCCGGGGTGTGGATAGGGAGATGCCTTCTCCGAAGGTTAGCTGTGAATAAGTTGTGGCATACCGCAACAAATATGCAGTCGCGAACAAACAGCTGCGGCACTAGCACGATGTGCTGGGTTTCAGCTTGGTCACCTGGCTCCTGTTTAAAAGCCGCATAAGCCCAATGATGGTGTCGTGACACAGGTCGATGTGACTGGCCTTTTAAGCTAAAGTTATTGACCTCCTTACTTCCGAGGTGAGGGATTACTTCTTGCTGCCTTGCAGTTCGCACTTGGTTGTGCAAAGGCTAGAGATGCGCCCTCGAAATAAAAAAACGCCGAGTGACGCTGGGACGTTTTTCGTACCCAACTCCCAAGGAATTCCGTGACCATGATCGTGATCGTGTCTGGAGGCGGCTTATCCCTCCAAGGAGCCAGCCGCAGTAAAGTAAAGTAAAGTATACTGACGAAGGGGCTTTCATTTTGGAAACCTTGACCGGGTTTGAAGGTTTTATCTGCAAGGTTCGCGCAAGCAAGCCTGTCACGCAAGCAAGGCCTTGTGGTTTGTTCTCATTGTATTTCTATGGCACGTTGATTGACCGTACACTTCTCGTGCTTGTGTACCCTGTAGAATAGGTGGAACGTTGATAACTCAGTACATGATAAGCGAGGGGCCACTGAACTTGGACGGAAAGCAACTGTCCAATGAATTACTCAGATTTTTTCCACCGTCGGTAGGAAGCCCGAGTCGCTCCGCTCCACCTCGCGGCGAATTTTGATAGGTAAACTGCTCCTCACCGTGTTCAGTCGCACTCAATAACTGGCTGATTGGATTTGCTTCAGTTGCGGATCGACGACAATTGGATGACTGCTTGAAGTGAACAGTTCACTGCTCGTTTCTCCACTAGTTTAGTGTTAGGAGTACATTTGTAAGAGGCTACCAAAAGATTTCTGTTTATAAGCCAGATCTTAATCCGAGTGTAATAAAAAAATATGGGACAAGTTTGTACTGTCACATCCTACGAAAAATTGCTTCCGTATCTGACTTCCTAGTTTTCTTCACGTATTCCTTTGCTCTTGTCATCGGGTGATGATAGTGACGAGGAGGGAGAATGCGAAGACGTGCTCATGTACCTGTCCATTTCACCC